AAAAAAAAAAAGATTTCCCAGACTGCTCCAGAACCTCAGGGAATTGATCTTTCCCCTCTCTGAATTCCCTTAGGGCTTACTATGAATCCTAGGACTTCTAAGTCATAGACTATCTGAGCTGAAAGGAACCTCCGAGGTCACTTATTCCCACTTCTTCACCTTACAGATAAAGAAACTGAGGCCTACAAAGGGATATTCAGGGTTGGACAAATGCCAGTCACCAGGTAATAACAGAACCTAACAATTTCATTGTGACAGAATTTCTGACACAAGCTTAGCAAAAACTAGAGAAGTATACTTTGTTCTACCTGCTTGTGGGGCATTCTCATATCACTATCACCACAACTTGAAAAGAAAAAGTTCACAGCACCACACTCAACATGAGAAGTGGTTAGAGGTTCCTGGGGCTTTTCAGCTGACACTGTAGAGGGGAAATTAATTCTGTTTACTCAGTGTAGAATCCAGAAAGACACTCAGCTCAGTGACTCCAATTTAGATCTTGCCCCTAGGTCAGGAACCAATGCCCAATGACCACATATTGTCTTTCCCCCCTACTTTCATGTGCCTCACCCCAACCCAGTTAGAAAATTAACAGATCTGTTTACCTTTTAGATCCAAAGTAAACTGGTAGAAACCTGGGGTGGGTGAGCTCACAGTCATCTACTGAATTAGTAGCAGAGGCAACTCTCTAAGATTACAGATTACATACAAGTGGCCAATCTTAATTACTTGAGAGAGTGTCCACACGGAGAGTTCTCTAGATGAAATCATAGGTTTCGTCCTCCTCATCTCCCTCCCCACCTCTCTACTCCCCACTCCGGACGAGAAAGAATCCAGGCTCTGAGAAGTTAAATGACTCGCCCTCTGTTGATTATGTCTAAATTTTTCCTACCTATAGCTTATTTGTATATAGTTGTTTATGTTGTCTCCCCCATTAGTTCCTTGAAGGCAGAGACTGTCTTTTGCCTCTTTTTGTATCTCCAGCACTTAGCAGGTGCCCAGCGCATAGTAGGTACTTAATAATATTAAGTTTAGTGACTGACACAACCTGCAAATATTTGACATGGGATTCAAACCTAGGGGTCCTGACTATCCACTAAGTTGTACTTCCTTTTACATTTCCCCCTAGCTCCTTCTTTATGTATCTTCCCAGCTAGAATGAGTTTCTTGAGAGCAGGGACTGAATCCTGTTAGTCTCAGTATCCTCCACAGTGTGGTGCAAAGGGGAAGCTAGGTGGCGCAGTGGATAGAGCACCGGCCCTGAAGTCAGGAGGACCTGAGTTCAAATCCAGCCTCAGATCAAACACTTGACACTTGCTAGCTGTGTGACCCTGGGCAAGTCACTTAACCCCAATTGCCTTAAAAAAAAAAAACACAGTGTGGTGCAAAGAATTGATGCCCAGTGAACGTCTGTTGACTGGCAGATAGATGATTCCCAGGCAAAAGAGGTCAGGATACACTACAAACCATGTAGTGGCGATATCCCAGTTGTTAGATGGGAAAGACGCCAACAGTTCTCCTCTCTCCTTATGGATACCACCTTTGATCTTGGTTTAAATAGTTGTTCATATGTTGTCTCCCTCATTAGATTATAAGCTCCTTGAGGGCAGAGACTGTTTTTGCTTTTCTTTGGGTGCTCTGTGCTTAACACATAGTAGGTACTTGTTGACTTGATGAGCTACCTATCCTCTCCCCTACCTCCCCTCTTTCCACTTACTCTAAGCCTCTAACCCAAAATGGTCTTTCCACCAGAACAGTACTGCCATCTCCCTAAATAAAACTTTACCCCTTTTACTTCGGTCGATACTGAATCCCTACCCAGAATTAACTTCTCCACACTGTTAACTCATTCACAACCTGTCGCCTCTCTTGATTTACCCTTGCATTTCTACATACCCATTTATTTTAGGTTTTAAGTTGTGTCTCTTGACTCAAAAGCATTTTACCAAGGAGGCAGGGGAGTACAGGGGAGGCTGGATGAGGGAGGAGTCTGGACACACCAGAGTATCCTCATCTGTCAAATGGGGAGGGAAATCTCGGCCTTGTGTTCCTTTCAGGGTTGCTTTAACACTTAATTCTTTGGTAATGAACATAAAAAAGTACTTTGTAAACTGCAGAGAAGTCAGGAAGTAGAATTAACAGTATCTCCCATGAAAGGTAGTTCTTCAGAGACACAGCCCTATGCATTCACAAAGGGAAAACTAGGACGTTCAGTGAAGCATTAAGCACCTACTCTGTGCAACCTACTTTTTGAAGACATTCCTAACTTATGAAGGCCACTGAGTTATGGAATCAAAGATATAGAACTCTATCTAGAGTACTAATCCCATTTTACAGCTGAGGAAACTGAGGTCCATAGTAGTTGATTGACTTAAGTATGGTCACCCTGTAAGCAGCAAGCTGGAATTCGAACTGGGGTTCTGTGACTCAGAGTTGCACTATCACCAGGAATGATGAGTTACTTAACATTCCTCTGAGGCCCCAGAGACAGAAGTAAGTTCTCGAACTGCCGGGCTGTACAGCCAGTCCTAGGCCAGGGCTAGGAGAGACATAGAGAAAGAAGACACAGGCCCTTCTAATAGGGAGTTCACAGGATCATGGCTCTAAAGAGAAAAGCAAGTTTAAAGATCATCTAGGGGGCAGCTAGGTGGCACAGTGGATAGAGCACCAGCTCTGGAGTCAGGAGGACCCGAGTTCAAATCTGGTCTCAGACCAGACACTTGACACTTAGTAGCTGTGTGACCCTGGGCAAGTCACATAACCCCAATTGCCTTGCCAAAAAAAAAAAGATCATTTCTATTTTTATAAGTGGGAAACTAAGGTCAAGTGCCCAACTAAGGCAATGACCAATACAGGTAGTGACAGGCTTCAAACCCAGGTCCTTGAGACTCTATTCGGCTCTCTTTGGAGTGACAAGCCTTATATAAAACATATAGAAATTATATACAGAAACATATAGGTAATAGAAATGTTTGATTATCTATCCATCTCCCCTTTTTTCTTCTTTTTTTATTAATTAATTTATTTTGAATGATCAACAAGCACTTCCATAAGCTTTTGAGTTTTAAATTTTTCTCCCCCTTCCTCCCCATCACCCTCCCCAAGAAGGTGCACAATCTGATATGGGCTATACATATGCATTCCTATTAAACATATTTTCACATTAGTGATGTTGTAAGTAAGAATTAGAACCAATAGGAGTCCCTATTTCTATAGAGGAGAAACTGAGGCCCACAGAAGGCAAATGACTTGTCCAAGGTCCTGTAATGGCAGAACCAGGACCCAAACCTGTCTCCTGATTCCCAGCCCACTGTTCTTGTGCTTCATGACATTATCTCAAGCCCTCCTGAGAAGAGGGGCCTCTTTTGTTTCCCCAACAGAACCAGATGTGTAGTAGGTCCTCAGGACAGATTTCCTCTTGGAGCAGTGATACCGGGAAGAACACCTGACTCTG